TGAGCCCATCCCTGCCCTGTGAGCCCATCCCTGCCCTCTGAGCCCATCCCTGCCCTGTGAGCCCATCCCTGCCCTGTGAGCCCATCCCTGCCCCTGGGAGCTCCTCTCCAGAGGCTCACATCCCCCTCTGCACGTTCCACTGACCAAGCCCCCAGCGTGGTTTCAAAGCCCAGCGTGGTTTCAAACGTGTTGCTGTTCTCTCTGCCTGCTAAGCGTGTCTTCAAAAGATGTTTTGCATTAAAATAGGATTTTCCAGGGTGTTTGCAGTGACAAATGCAGTGTGGTCTAGGCTTCAGACGCTTGGAAATAGCGAGGAAATGTGGCTGCATCTCAAAGTTCTTAAAAGAAAATGTATTTAATAACTATTCTTTATAGACATTCAAATAATGAAGAGTATCACCCAAGCCAATCATCCTCCCTAATTTAGTCTCCAGAGCAGGATCTGCTAATAGATCAGAGCTGGATTTGTGAATTACCATTTCACTTCTCCAGGGACTTTTCCTGAAATTATAATGGCTTTTGCTCCTCTTGTTTTTTCTCCATAAAACTGCCACGGAACTGTTCTCCGTTATTAAGTGTGAAACACAGCTAATTAGCAGAGTGACAGTGAGGAGGCCTGGCCGTGTCTGCAGGGCTGCCAGCAGTGGCTGATCCGAGCTCGGGGCAGGAATTCGAGCAGAGGCTGGGGCAGCTGGTTTGCTGGGATCCCTGGGAATCTCCTTGCTGGGAATCCTGGGCAGTGCAGCCGGGCTGGGTGGGCACGGCCCTGGCACGGGCACGGCCCAGGTGGCCTAATGGGCAGAGAGGATTTGGCTCTTAGGCTAATCGGGGCTTTTCCAGAGCTGTCCTGGAGCCCGGTCCCTGCCCTCCCGGCCAGCTGGCTCCAGGAGGCTCCCAATGTGCCCCTAATGAGCAGCCTTGATTCCAGAGCCACTGCCCAGCTTCTGCCAGCGAGGGGCTCGAGGGGGCTGCCGGGCTCCTGCAGGGCAGAGGAAGGGCAGCCACGGCTGTGACCGGCACGGGAGCAGCGTTCCACGGGACACGGGGCAGGAATTCCCCCGGCAGGGCTGTGACCGGCACGGGAGCAGCGTTCCACGGGACACGGGGCAGGAATTCCCCCGGCAGGGCTGGGGCCGGGCACCGGCACCCAGAGCCGCTGGGGCTGCCCCGGGGGCTGGCACTGCCAGGCCAGGCTGGGCAGGGACACGGGGACAGGGGACAGGGAGACAAGGGGACAAGGGGACAAGGGGACAAGGGGACAGTGGGACGGTGGGATGGTGGGACAATGGGACAATGGGACAATGGGACAATGGGCAATGGGCAATGGGCAATGGGACAATGGGACAATGGGACAATGGACAATGGGACAATGGGACAATGGGCAATGGGCAATGGGCAATGGGACAATGGGACAATGGGCAATGGGCAATGGGCAATAGGCAATGGGCAATGGGCAATGGGCAATGGGACAATGGGACAATGGGCAATGGGCAATGGGACAATGGGACAATGGGACAATGGGCAATGGGCAATGGGACAATGGGACAATGGGACAATGGGCAATGGACAATGGGACAATGGGACAATGGGACAATGGGACAATGGGACAATGGGCAATGGGACAATGTGACAATGGGACAATGGGACAATGGGCAATGGGCAATGGGCAATGGGACAATGTGACAATGGGCAATGGGCAATGGACAATGGGACAATGGGACAATGGGACAATGGACAATGGACAATGGGACAATGGGACAATGGGGCATGGGACATGAGACATGGGACATGGGACAATGGACAATGGACAATGGACAATGGGACAATGGGCAATGGGCAATGGGCAATGGGACAATGTGACAATGTGACAATGTGACAATGGGACAATGGGACAATGGGACAATGGGACAATGGGACAATGGAACAATGGACAATGGACAATGGGACAGTGGGACAATGGGACAATGGGACAATGGGACAATGGGACAATGGAACAATGGACAATGGACAATGGGACAGTGGGTCAATGGGACAATGGCACGGTGGCACAGTGGCACAGTGGCACGGTGGCACAGTGCCTCTGCTCCTCCCAGAGCACCCAGGAGCTCTCCACGTGTATCTGAGTGGGCTGAGGCTCCCCCTGCCCTGCCAGAACAGGGAACAGCTCTCAGCCCTTGGGCCCCTCGGCCATTCGGATTCCTCTGGAATCAGGGCAGCCCCTGGGCCTGCAGGAGGGCTCGGGCGGCTCCTCTGCACCCCGGATCGTTCCCATGCCGCGTGTGGAGCCCCCGTGCACAGCTCAGGGCCAGTTCTCTGCTGGCTCTCCGTTACCAGGGCCGGAGGCAGTTCCGTGCTCACTGGGGTTCAGGTGCCTGTGGCCCCTGGGGCACGGCCAGGGTCCCACGCAGCAGGGATGGGGAAGGACAGCCCTGCTCGGGAGGAAGCTCTGGGGGAAGCAGCTGGAGGCTTTTCCTGGGAAAACCTCCAGCGTGACCCGGGGGAGCCCTGCCTGCCCTGCCGGGAAGAGCCAGGAGGGAAAGAGTTAAAAGCTGTCTCCAGGCAGGAGAACAAAACCAGCCCTGCGCTCATCTAATTACGTTATTTAACAGGATACCCTCTCATTGATTTTAATTACTCACGTAATTTGGGAAGTAATTCGCAGCACATCCCTGCAGGGTGCATGAGTCTAGCCGGGAACAAAGTGCTGGAGTCTGCCCGGCTCGGGGAGGGAGGCAGGGAGGACGGGGGGGCCCCGCAGGGACCACCTGGGGACCCTCGGGTGCGATATCGTCACCCGTGCGGGGATCTTGGGGAGCCCTGGCTGGGGGCAGCGGTGCCCGGGCCCAGCTGCCGGGTCCTCGTCTCCCTCATCCCCGGATTAATTAATTGTCCCTTTGACAGCCGGGGGTCCTGCGCTGCTGGGGGATGCTCATCCCCCCAGAGCCCCCGAGCATCCCTCAGCAAACACCCGGAGCCGCTCTGGGTCCCCTGGCACTGCTAATCAATGCCCTGGGACTGCTAATCAATGCCCCGGGACTGCTAATCAATGCCCTGGCACTGCTAATCAATGCCCTGGCACTGCTAATCAATGCCCCGGCACTGCTAATCGATGCCCTGGCACTGCTAATCAATGCCCTGGGACTGCTAATCAATACCCCGGCACTGCTAATCAATACCCCGGCACTGCTAATCAATGCCCTGGCACTGCTAATCAATACTCTGGCACTGCTAATCGATGCCCCGGCTCTGGTGCCTCTAAAGATGCTTTTAACCGCAGCCCTGTGATTTTCACTAGATTTTTTAAAAACAGTTGCACACGGTTTAGCAAAATTGCACCCCCAGCACGCACTTGTTTGGTTCCTTCACTGTCTTTTGTAAGCTCCCCTGCTTAATTAGGATGCAAACAATCCCAGAGGAATGTTTAATTAATATTATAAAGCAACAATGGGATGATTAAGCAAGTCTGGGCAGCTGCTATTTATACACAGGACATGTGGCACTTGTTGGGGGCGAGCGTGTCAAGGAAAAATCATTCCACGGATCTCTCCGTGCAGTTTTATTGCTCGTTTTAATTGTCTGGCTCGGGCCTTTTCTCCTCTTTGTGTTCGCTGAGGCAGAGCGAGAGCAGCCGAGATTTAACTGGGTCTCTTGTTCAGCTTAATGACAGCGAAAGCTCCGAGCCCGCCTTGCCCTGCCCAGCCCCGAAAATGGGCCAGGAGCAGGATCTGGGGCTGTGGGGCAGCAGAGCATCCCGGAGCATGGGATGAGCTGGGAGAGCCCTGCAGGAGCTGCAGCATCAGCCAGGCTGATGGGGGGCAGAGACCACCTCCCACCCCTCCGAATCCAGGGAATCGGGGGCTGGGGACCCTCCAGACCCCTCCCAGCCCTGCCAGGCGCTGCCAAATTTCGGTGCTCCTGCCCTGGCTGACGGCTGAGCTGCCCCAGGGGCAGGGGCAGGGCAGAAACCCGCAGGTGTGGAAGTGCTGGCTCCCCTCAGGATCACCGAGGCTGGAAAAGCCCTCGGAGACCGAGTCCAGCTGTGCCCCAGCGCTGCCAAGGCCCCCCGTGCCCCGGGTGCCCCTCACAGGGTTTTGGGGCTGCTCCGTTCCTGCTCTGCTGCGGTGGCTGCGGTGGTGCTGCAGCTGCAGCTCTGCTGCATCCCCCTGCCCTCTGCTCCACCCTGCTCCTGCAGATCAACCCGGGGCTGTCGGGCCTCCCTCACTTCAAACATCACTTCTCCTACAGGATTATCCTGCAGGGGCTCCTGTGCAGTCATATTTAATCACATAAACTGCTTCAAATCAAATGATTTCTCCCATGAATTTAAGCTGAACTGACACAGCAGCTTGACACTTCTTATTTCCAGGGCTAAATGCAAACTGTGTAGGAGTAGGATGTCTGCAGCCCTCAGAATGCCAGAGCCACGTAACCACGGCCAGGGAGAGCCGGGGTGCAAGGGAGCTGGAGGCAGCTTATCCCAGGATTTGGAACAGCCTGGGAAGGAAGGGGCAGCGGAGCTGCAACACTGCTCCCTTCCACTCAGCTGCCCCAAAACTGCTGCAAGGAGCTGGAATTCTGTGTGAAACCCTGCAGGGAAAAGGGCAGGCTGAGGGAGCACGCCATGGGGCACAGGACTCGCCTGGGGCTGCTGCTCTGCTCGGGGTCCTTCTGGCAGAGACCAGCGCTGTTGGTCCCCCTGCTCCTGCTCCTCTCCCTCCTCCTGCTCAGGGTTTGTCTCCAAATCTGGGGAGTTTCCTCCCAGGAGGAAAGAGAGCTGTGGCTGAAAGCCAGAGCACTGAGCAGCTGCTGTGGGAAAGCAGTGCCAGGTCCCTGCCCCAGCCAGGAGGGAGGGAAGGATGCTCAGCCCGGCCAGGAGGGAGGGAAGGATGCTCAGCCCGGCCAGGAGGGAGGGAAGGATGCTCAGCCCGGCCAGGAGGGCTAGCACATGCTGCTTATTTACCAAGTGGCACCTGGGCCCTGGGAAATCCAATTTCATTCCTCAGTGCCTGGTCCTGGCAAAATAAAGGAAACATTCATCAGTTGTGGTGATTTTGCAAAGGTTAATGGTGAATTTAACAGGAATTTTCAAGTTCCTCTGGTGGCTGCGGGATGCAGGACCTCCCACATCAGGCAGGAATGCAGCTCAGAGGCAGCAGAACAAACCTGGATTTGAGTCACCTGTTTGGGTCAACATCACAACTGCAATTAAAGCTTCCCGTGGGGCAGGACGTGTGGGATCATTTCATCCAACCCACACCGGGGAAAACGTGACTTCGAATAAGCTTTGGGAAACACTGCAATCAGACAGACAGACGGACACAGGCTGGGAGTGTGAGAGCAGCACGCTTGCAGAGGTGGCCGGGACTGTCCCTGGGGGAATTTGTGCTCACACAGGAGCTGGGTGGCTCCAGGGGCTCCGGGGAAATTTTAAATGTGCCCCTTTCCTCTCTGAAAAATGCTGCTGTGCTCGGCTGGGTTCTGGTCAAAAGCAGAAGCCTGGGGCTTCTGGGAGGTTTTTATTTTCCCATTTCTTTAGGACATTCAGCACTGAAGTCGATTTTAACCCACAGAGACATTAACATCAAGTGCTTCAGGACATTTCTGTCTGACACGGCTCAAGCTGTCCCAGGGCAGAACTGCAGCTATTGTGCTAAAATCCATTAAAGAACTTCTTTATTTTTTTTAATCCAGTGAGAAAAGGAGCGCCTTGTTGGAGGCGGAGGGGAGAGGCGAGGGGTGGGAAGGCTGCAAACATCCCGAATGAGAGCGACGGCAGCGCAGCCTTCCCAGCCCTGCGCCTCTCCCACACTCCCATCTAGCGGCAGCCGGGCTCGGGAGCGCTGCCGGCCCTCATCCTCATCCTCATCCTCATCCTCATCCTCATCCTCATCCTCACCCTCACCCTCATCCCCATCCTCACCCTCATCCTCATCCTCATCCTCATCCCTATCCTCATCCCCATCCTCATCCTCATCCTCATCCCCATCCTCATCCTCATCCTCATCCCTATCCTCATCCTCATCCTCATCCTCATCCCCATCCTCACCCTCACCCTCATCCTCATCCTCATCCTCACCCTCATCCTCATCCTCCCCCCCATCCTCACCTTCATCCCCACCTTCCTCATCCTCACCTTCATCCCCACCCTCCCCAGCCCCACTGCACCCCAGTCCCGCTCGCTCTGCGCCCCACTTTACACAAGTGGCGTCCAGTGTCACCACGTCCATTGAAATGACTTTATTGCCAAAATCTTTTTACATTTCCTGGAGATAACCAACCTGCCAACGCCGTGCTTCTGCTCCTCCTGGAAAAGGAGGCCCAGAGGTCCTTGAAGAGCAGCAGCTGAAGCAGCTGTCTGTCCTGGTGCTCGTCAGGAGGCAGATGTTGTCACATCTCCCAGATGTTGCATCCAGTTTGGGCTCAGTAGACACTGGGCTCTCTGTAGTTCAGCAGCTGCATCAGGAACAGTTTAGAAAAACCTGTCTGCAGAAACGGCTGCCCTGGTTTGCAGTGAGCCCTGCAGCGGTGCAGGAACTCCTCTCCTGTCTCCATGGAACACAGGCCCAGCCTGTGCCGAGCTCCCTCACTCCAGTCACATTTCCCATTTCCCATTTCCCATTTCCCATTTCCCATTTCCCATTTCCCATCTCTGCTCCCCCTCCTCGGGGGAGGAAGGGCAGCCCTGGGGCTCCTGCGGGTCCCAGGAGGGCTGGGGGCTCTCACCTGCCACGGGAGGCTCCCCCTCCTTGGAACTTCATCAACCACAGGGGTTACAGAAACACAAGAACAAACCCAAAATGAAACAGAGAAACCCTTCAGTGAGCAGGGACCACCAGCCAAACTGGGATTGAGCCAGGGATCATCCTCCAGGGCAGAGCTTGGAATGAAACCAAACTTGTGCACAGCAGTCACTGAGCAGGGGAAATACCTGCAGCAATCCAATCTTTAAAGGCAAGAGAAAACACAGGAGCTGCTGCTGTCCTTGCAGGGCTGCATTAAACACAGCACGGGGTGGGGGCACCTCAGCAAAGCCCCTGATCCTCCAGGATGGGAGAGGAACTCCCAGAACATGCAGCAAACCCAAAGGCTGGAAACGGTAACAAAAACACAGAAACAAAAATGAAAATGTACTAAAATTTAATCATTCATAAAAGCTGTAATTTAATCTGTGACAGTAAAACACAAGAAGCAATATTAGAGTTGGTTTAGTATATTATATATTTTTGCTTTTAAAGCCATAGAAATCAGTTATCCCAGTTTTTTTCCTATAAAAGACCCATTTTTCCAAAGCATTATGCACAAACATTTTTAATTAGAATACAATGGCAGAATGAAAATAATGATATTCCGTAACTTTTAAATATAAAATGAAGTCAATGACTCAAAAAGTTATTTGTTGCAGTGAGTTCAAAGGGAAATTTTGGATAATATATATCTATAGTTATAGATATAAAATATAACGGTGGAACATTTTTAGTGCTCAATGGGGAGAAATTATGATAAAATGGTCAATATGAATTTTAATTATAGTAGCAATCTCTAACATCTGAAATGCATCCATGCTCCTTGGGATAATCATATGCTAGAGTCAATTATATTTATTTTCACATCTGTTAATTGCTATTGCAAAGGAGGAGGAATATTGGCTTAAATTTCCAAGAGATATACACAGAGCGACTGCTTTTTCCAGGGACCGTGTGCAAACCAGTTTTAAGATCTCAATTCTTCCCGCAGTATATAAAAAACAGGAGAAGCTTCTTCCGATATGTGACTCATTTCCAGAAGGTTTGGAAGTTGGGAATGCTGGCACTTTCCATGTAGGCAACAGTTCTTCATTCCTGCAATCTGCAGTAAAAGAAAACAGAAATAAAGAGGAGGGAGGGACATTTCTTGCTCTGCTGGTGCCATCAAGGCCTGGGAGCCAATGGCCCGTGCTCAGGGCAGCAGAGGACTCAGGTTTAATCACGTTTAATCACATTTAGCTCATGTTTAATCACGTTTAGCTCACGTTTATTCACGTTTAGCTCATGTTAGCTCACATTTAGCTCACGTTTAATCACGTTTAGCTCACGTTTATTCACGTTTAGCTCATGCTTAGCTCATGTTTCCCAGCACTCAGGGCTGCTCCTGGCTGCAGAAGCAGCTCTGGGCAGTGCAGCTCCCTGTGTTATCAGGGCCAGAGCAGTCAGACAACGGCCAGGCTGCTGCAGTGCCCGATAGCAGCAGAGCTGGGCCAGCACCCGTGCCCTCCCCTGCCCCAAAAGGGGACTTTGTGTCCCAAACCTGGAGCTGCAGAGCTGCTGGTTCCTCCCAGGAGCATGGGAGAACAGCTGTGAGCACACAGAGCTCCCTGCCAAGGCACACAGGATTATTTATAGCTGTGTCCAGTCCTGGTGTGCTTTTTGCTTGGGTTTGGGTTTTTATGTTTGTTTTGAGTTGGGTTTTTTTATGGTGGGCAGCCTTTTATTTCTGTGCCACTGAAGCCCTTGTCCCATCCAAAGCCATTGTCCCCAGAGGTGCCAGCAGTGGCAGAGGTAACACCCACATTTATCAAGGCTGGAAGGGAGGCACAGGCCAGCCCTGGTGGCTCAGAGCTCACTGTCACAGGCACCCAGAGGAGTCAGAAGTTCCTGCTCAGTCACATTATTGGAAATGTAGGTGAATTTGGTGGGCAGAAATGCTGGTGTCTGACTCCAGCTCAGAAGGCTGAATGATTTCTTTATTATAACTATGCTATAATACATTCATATACTATTTAAAGGGGATGTAAACAATACTCCAACACATTCCACATAGGAAAACAAGGAGCAGAAATAGAAATTGTTTTATCATTCTTCCCTCTGTGCTCCTCTGTGAAAAATCCTGAGAGAGAAGAATGTTCCTGGCACAGGCACACTCCAGGAGGAGCAGAGGAAGGGGCTCTGTCAGGAGCTGCTCTGCTCACCTGGCCCAGGAGGGTTCAGGCACCTCTTACCTGGCTCAGAGCTGCTGCATGATGGGACTCTAAAGCAGCAGACAGGATTTCTTCTTAGGCTTCTTCTTTTCCACTGGTGTTTTTCTATTTATCTGTCTGACCAGGTCATAAAAGATCTGCAAATGAAAAACACAAGCTGAAAAATCCAAGTGATAAAACACAAGCTGCCAAAACTGAAGCAGGCTGAGGAGCTGACAACTCTTTGTGGCTGCAGTTATGTAAATTCAATTAAACTGCTTGAATTTATTAAAAGTTTCTCAAGCAGCTGCTTATGGAAGAAGAAACCCAAAGGTCCCATCAGTGTGCAGAATGTAAGGGAGCTGGAAACTCAGTTTATCACCACCAAAGCCTTCAGAAGAGTAGGGCACTGAAATGGCAACAGTTCCCTTGCTTTGAAAAAGTGGGAGAAAACTCGGAATTAACAAAGGGTTTTTAAGGCAGGCACAATATCCTCTGCCCCAGCAGCCCAGGACACCCCTGTCCCCTGGCTGGCCCTGCCACTCCTGCCCTGAGCTCCACATTTCCAGCAGGGACCCCAAGGGCCTCCTCCAGCTGCAGAGCTTTTTCAGTGCTGCTGCTGGGAGTTGTTTTCCCAGCAAGACTCAACCCATTTATAGCAAAATGAGCTTTGCAAAAATGCTTGGAGCTGGGTCACAGCATTGAGGAGAAATATTTCAACCTTCAGAGGGCTCCACCCTTGTCCTTGTTTATTTTTTCCCCTTCCTGGAGTGGCTGACAGCTCACAAATTCTTGTTGATTCCAAAGAAATTCAGAAGACAAAGAAACAGTTCATAACACACTGTAACAACTGAAAGTTAAGATTTTCCTTTCTCATAAATTAGATTATTTAGGTGCTAGCACTGACTGTGAGTACAGCCATCTGCAACAAGGTTTCAGGAATGCCACCATCCCTAAAAAGCCTCAGTGTGCTGCAAAAGCATCCCAGAGGGCACCAGAAGGTCACCTGATTCACTCTGCATTAAAAGCTTCTGATCTGAAAGGTTTCATTCACTTTCAGCAAATGCATGTAGGAATTTATCGCTCTTTACCCAGATTTTAACAAATTTAGAAACTCCAAAAGCAGCGAGAAAGCAAGAATAAACCCAAAAGAATGCAAAAGCTTGCCCAGCCCAGGGGCCAGCAGGACAGACTCCCAGTGCACTGAGCTGCTTCATTCAGGGTGTCTCTCTGATTCCCTCAGCTTTTGCGCTTTTCACAGGTAGGAAATACCAGCTGGCAGGAAGCCAGAGCATGGAGATCACACGGAAAGCAGAGACTCATTCTCCATTTAAGCACATTGCTGCCTGTGCTGTGAGCTGCCTGGAGGCTGCAGCCCCCGGAGAAGGGAGAGCAGGGTTCCCAGGAGAGGGAGGAGGGGGATGCCAGGCTGTGCCCCCTGTCCCTGTGCCCGAGGAGGGTCAGTGTGCACCCACAGCGTGGAGAGGCACAGCCCGGCCCTGCCACACTCCCTGGGCACCTGGGCTGCTCCTGCTCCCTGCCCAGCCTGCTGTCCCTGCAGCCCAGACACACAAATCCTGCAGCCAGGCTGAGGCCAGCCACAGGAGCTGCAGCCCGGGGCTGGGGCTCCCTGCCTTCCCCATCCTGCTGCTGCCAGAGCAGCCTGGCCAGCCAGGACCCTGCTGCTCTGCTTATCACACACCCCAAAACGGGCCCACTTATCTGCTGGCACCAGCCCAGCCCTGCTGCTCGGGGTCACCTGAGCCTTTGTGCCTCTGGCACGGGCAGATAACTCCCAGCACAGAACAAAACCTGGTGCCTGACTGAGCAGAGCTCCCCCAGGCCAAGCACGGCCCCGGGCAGCAGGAGGAGGCACCCCAGAGCAAAGGGGGGCTCATTTACACTCGGGGCACTGCTCAGACCTGGGTTTGGGCACGGTTTTACAAGCTGGGGGCTCGCAGGGGGCTGTGATGAGGCATCTGCAGCCAGAAATGCAAATGCTTCCGAAGCAGCAGAAACAGCACACCAGACAAGGAGCACAAGGGGCATCACCCACATCTGGCAGGGCAGCAGTTACTGTGACACAACACTCTCTCCAGATAAGGTTTGTCTAAGCTAAGATCCAGCTCAGGACCCTCTGCTGTTCACGGCCCCTGGGAGGGGCTGCAGAAACAGCACCTGGGAAGGCACCCTGCCCTGCAGAGACAGGGGAGCACAGCTCAGAGCAGACAGAGCGCCTGCACACGCTGCAGCCTTCCCCAGGCTGGGCTCCAGGCCACCCCGGACCCCAGCTCACACACAGGCACTACTTTGGTGGCACCTCCACGCTGGGACCACGGAGCAGGAGCACTGACCTCCCACCCCACGCTGGGACCACGGAGCAGGAGCACTGACCTCCCACCCCACACTGGGAACACGGAGCAGGAGCACTGACCTCGTTTACGTTGATTTTCGACTTTGCAGACGATTCTAGAAAGGCACAGTTACACCACTGGCGTGCTAAGTTCTGCCCCTGCTCCTTGCCCACGACTCGCTCTTCCTCCAGGTCGCATTTATTGCCAACCAGAATCATGGGAACCTGCAGAGGAGCAAGCAGAGCAAGATCCATCAGCAAGTTCATCTTCAGACAGCTCTGTGCTGCTCTGGCTCTCAGACTGGGGAGGAGGAAATGCAGCCTGGGAAATGCAGGGTGAAAAATGCAATGTGGGAAATGCAGGGTGAAAAATGCAATGTGGGAAATGCAGCCTGGGAAATGCAGTGTGAACTATGAAACCCAAAAAAATCAGGAGGCAATGATGAAGTGGCTCTGCTCCTCTCCAGTGGGAAATCACTGCTCGCTTCATTTGGTAATTTACAATGCACTGTGTGTTTTTAATCTACTTCAGTGTTAATATTTGTGGTCTCCTCCTGACACAACTACACTCAAGATTATTTTTTCTCTTTAAAACTCCCAGCCATACCCATTAGAGAATGATCATATTTTTATTTTTGAGACATAAATTTTCCTTATTACATCAGGAACCTGAAGTCACAGTACAGATGAAGCAAATGCAAAAAACGCTCATTTGAAATCAGATCTACAGGATATTTACGACTCAATCAGCTTAGATAGAGCTGTAAATATCCTGCTCTTTACAGTTTTCTAGGCAGTTAAGAGAAGATTTCTCATACTGAAACATGAAAATGTGTTATGAACGTGTTCAGCAAAAAACCAAAGTGTATGAAAATGTGAAATAATAGGGCAAAAAGTGATCCTGAGATGAGTAAGCAGTACAGGTTTGAAAGACATGAAACTGTGTAAGATTATTGCAGAAGGTATTAATGGTTTACCCAAAAATGGAATTTGGTGAGCAACTACCTTTGATAATTTACTGTCAGGTGTACAAGATTGGAATTTAAACTCTTCCAGATACAGATAATGTCATGATTTATGTACTGGGACTTTAGACACATTCTGGTATGAAAGACAGAAAGGAGCACATTTCCTAACCCAGCAAAATGCAGCTTAAACGTTCAAAAGGTTCTCAAGCCCAGTTCAACAGGTAACACACAAAGCAAATGAATGCATTTTAACTTTCAGTCAGCTCCTGAAGCCAAGGACAGCAGCAGGGTCTGCTGAGGGATGAACCTGCCCAGCTTAGGGCAGAATTCCCCTGTGAGCTCCAGCACAGGGTCCTGCCAGCAGGGATTTATGGCACCCTGCTCTTTTGAGTTTTAAAGTTCTCCTGAAAGTTCCTGAGCCTCCTGATATTTACATACTTCAGCTGAGCTTTCCCACACACTGTTCATGTAAATAGTGATTGTTTTACATTCTTCTCTGTGGGAGCAGAGAACTGATGGGCTGTTGGTTTGACCAGTGTGGTTGGAGAGGTGGCAGTTTCACCCCCAGTCCACTGCCACTTTTACTATTGCATATATGGTGGAGTCAGAAATTACATTTGCCTTTTTGGGTTCCTTTTCTTTCCTTTTACATCCAGCCTGCTTGTGTGAGTTATTTGGTATTGCAGTGTGACAGATTCACCCCGCAGCAATCCCTGCCCCAGGGAAAAGCAGCTCTGCAGAAACAGAAGCTCAGCTTGTTCAAGCAAGGAGAGCCCAGGGCCAGAGAAGCAGCCCAGACCACGACCCAGGGGCACAGCCACCCTCACCCATCTTGTGCCACACACCAAACTCCCCACAGCTGTCCGTCCTTCCTTTCAAAAGGGCTCTGAACAACCAAAACCCCCAGCCAGGACTCTGCCAGGCCCTCAGTGGTTCTGTTCCTGCCACTGTGTGAGCTGTGGGTGACAGGTTCTGCTGAGTGCTCAGCAGCTGCTCCAGGGCTGCAGAGAATTCCCAGCTGAGCCCTGCAACGCCCCAGCTTTGGGCTTCCACTGCCCCTTCACAGCTCTGCAGGAACCCTGCCAGGCTCCAGAGCTACGGAGAACATCCTCACTGATATTCCTGCCTAACTCTGAGGGAAATAAAGCACAGAGAAAGAGGAAAATGCGAAGCCTGGAAAGGAGTTTAAAGGAAAAAAGCTAAGTAATGTTGCCTTCAATCAACTCCCAGCATTGCAAAAGACTGTGGCTTCCAGGACATGGGAAAATCTGATTTTGTGATGCCCCTTAGCAGGTGCTGTGCCTCAAACAACACCACTGAAAACTACAAGGCTCTGAAAACTTACTCAACACTGCCCAAGGATATTTGAAAGAAGCTTTGTATGCAAACATACAGGCCGTAGTGGTTTTGGGAGCAAAGCTTCTTCACCATTGGCAGAAGTAAACCCCAACATGTTCTACTCACATCTTCAGTGTCCTTGACCCGTAGGATCTGTTCCCGCAGGTCCTGCAGGTCGTTAAACGTGGACTGTGCTGTTATAGAATATACTAGTGCAAACCCCTGCCCGTTCTTCATGTACAGATCCCTCATGGCTGTGAATTGCTCCTGCAAGCAAACGGTTTTTACAGCAATTAGCTGGGGAATGCAGCTAATGAACAGTTCCAAAGGAATACCTTTATTGTACTGGAGACGAGAATGCAGTGCCATGCAGCAAGGATTTACATATTTACCCCTCACAGAAACCCACTGAAGCATGGAAATTGAATAAAGGCATTAACACTCTCTTTCCCTTTGGTGTTTTTACCCCTTAATAAAGGGCTTCTTGAGAAAAGGGGGAAAAGATGAAGAGCAGCAATAAACCATCTCTGAGACAGACTGAAATGCCAGAGCAGGCTGGACAATGCCAGCTTGGAGCTGCCTCTGTCCCAGCAGGGCCAGGACTCTTTCCAGACCCACACAGCAACAATTCCTGTCCCTGCTGGTGGGAATTTCCAGCGCTTCCTCAATCAAAGCAGCTTGCAGGGGGCAGCAGGTGCCTGGGGTGTGCTGCCAGCCCCTCGGGGTTTGTTTGTTTGGGGCCAGGGCCGTGCCAGCTGCAGGTGACACTGGGGGGGACAGCAGGAGCCTCCCCGGCAGCAGGGCAGTGCCAGGGAGGTGCCAGGGCCAGGTCTGCCGAGGACAGAGGTGCCACACGGCCGTGGCACCTGCTGGGGAGCAGCCCTGTGCCTGGCACTGCCTGGCACTGCCCTTGCACGCTGGCTGCTTGCAAAGCTCCTGTTTAAAATCCTCCCAGAGCACACTGCCTCTGTGTCCCAGCACTGGGGCACCAGCTGGGCACAGAGCTCACCAGGCCACTGGCACTCACCTCACCAGGTCTGCTTATTGAACAAAATCCTTCATGTAATTGATTGCCTCTGCCTGGGCAGGATCACCACTCTTAAGGAGGAACTGCACAGCAATTAATAAAGAAATGCCACTTACTGTCCCTGCTGTGTCGAGGATCTCCAGCATACACTGCTGACAGTCTACTTCCACTTGCTGGGGAGAAAGGGGAACAAAAGGCTGAGTGAATTGTCTGCAGAGGGCCAGGCAAGAGGGATGTCAGCCCAGCCTGGAGCTCTGCACAAAGGGCTCTCAGCAGAGCAGCACCTGCCCTTCCCAGGGCTGAGCAGCTCTGCTGTCAGAGGATTAATTCTGCCCCACGCCAGAATTTGGGTCAGCTCACATGCTCCACGGCTCCCTTCATTAGCAAGGCTTAAATGAGCAGCTCACTGTAAACATCTCAACTTAAGTGAGATTGGAAACATCTTGGCTTAATCCACTCTTACAAACCAAAGCACCTTCAAACTTTAATTTTTCTTTGCTGCCCGGAGAGAAGGGAATAAGGAAGAGAAGAAAATGCAAAATATTTCAGGGTCCTCACAGTGAGACTCTGCAAATCTTCCATTCACTGAGAAATGTCTTGGATCTAACGAGGGTAATTCCAGGAAAGTCAAGTAAATTTTACAACAGAACTCATACCACAATTTAATTTAATTTAATTATCAGAGGCACAAATGTCACAAGTTTTTAGTGCATGTTTTGGTGCCTTTCATTTGGTGACATTTCTGCTAATCCGTGGAACAAAGGCTCACTTGCCATCGGGCAGGGAAGAAAGCAGCTCTGTGCCTGGGGTTACGTAACAGCTCACACCCTGCACCCACAGCAGCCCCCAGGATTCTGTGTTCCCTGCAGACGGGGAAAGAGATAAAAACCACGGTGCTTTACCTTTCTGTATGAATCTTCTATTGTTGGGTCATATTTTTCCACAAAAATTCCCTGAACGAACTGTACAGTCTGGGGAGGAAGGGAAGAACAGAAATCCCAAGTGAGCTGAACACAACCAGAAACATTCACCAAGAAGCACTTCAGCAAAAAGTAACAACACTAAAGCTGCTGTTAAAAGTCAATAGTGGGGACCAGAGAAAATGACATAAAATTTCAATTTTGGAAATAAAATTTGTCGGTTTTCTGTTAAAATCACGTTATTCAAGCATGCTTTCAATACTTTTTTGCACGACAACTGTTTGCTGGTTTGTCTCAGAAAAGAGATACCCTCAAAAGTGCCTTTACTCCACTGCCTGTGACTTCAGGATAAAAATCACCAAATACGGAGGCGTTGAGATTTCAGCAGCAGCACAGACAACCTGTGCACGGTGGGAAATGCACATTTCAGTGGAACTCAGCACAGAGCTGCCCGGGCCAGCGCAGAGCAGCGGTGCAGGGCAGCAGTGCAGGGCAGCAGTGCAGCCTGGAGGGGCTGCAGGCACTGAGGAGCCCTCACCCATGCACAGGGCAGGTTTCCTTCCCTGCACTCACAGCAAACCTGCTCCAGCCCTGACTCCCAGCTGGCACATCCCTGACAGCCCGGTGAGTGCCCTGCCTTCTGCCAGGACTGTTTTCCTCCTCCTCTGGGAGGCAAAGCTCCTTTTTCCTCCTCACCTGCAGTGATCTGCAGGGAAGCAGTGCAGGAGGGTCTGAAGAGTTGCTGGTATTTGTAAAACAAGGTGGTGTTCGTTTGTGAGACTGAGAGCTGAGGTCCCAGCACTTAATTCTACACACCAAGTATCTTTTGCCCACTGAACCTTTCACAGGTTTTATACACAAATTCTGCAAACTTGTGAGGAAAGTCTGAGAAGTCACAACTACCTCATTTCAAAATCGTTCTGTATCACTAAATAAGCATCCTACACTCCAATGAATGAAGTCTCTGCTTCTCCAGTGTTTTCTGCTCGCACTGAGCAGCGGTGCAGTGTGAGGAACAGGTCTCAGAGCCCTGGAGGTGGATCACAGGGCCCCAGCAGCCAGAGCTGGGTCAGGCTGTGCCTCACATGGCTCCTGTGCCTTTCAGCAGGGTCAGGCTGGCACAGCTGCTCCCACGGAGGCCAGAGAAGGCAGCTCAGTGCCAGAGGCTCCCAGAGCACTGGCACATCTGTGCCCTATTCCTGGGGGCTCTAAAGCAGCCCCGAGTGTGACAATCTGACCTGTAACACTCCTGAGCTCTGGTGGACTTCATTTGTTATAGGTGAAAGGAAAGCCCAGGGGAGAAGCTACAAATCTGGGGGTGCTGGTGGCTTCTGTGCAGATCCAAGACTTCTAGAAGTTTCTCTCTGTTTGGGTAGTGCAGCTTAGCTTTATTTTCCAGTTCTCTGTAAGGCTTTGCACCACTGGGCACCCTTGTAAATTATGTCACCCACTGCCACTCCAGGAGAGTTTTAGCCTCAGAAATGGGATTAAACTGCTGTACAGGAAACAAAAGTTGCTAAACAACTGTGGCTTTATAACTGTGAAGGTTTTCTGCTACTCCACCACTGTTCCCAGAAGCACCATCAGCACTGTGCTGGCACAGAGGAGTTAAAACAAGGAGGATCTGCAGTAAAACAACCCCATATTGTCATCTGCACCCGAGTGCAAACAGAGCTGGAAACGAACACCAGGCTCTTTGTTGCACAGGTCAGTTTGTACAGTTGGAAGAATGACATTTAAAGTGACCCCCATAGTATTTTAAACCCCACCTTGTAACCTCTCCTTGCTAATGCCTGTAAATAAGTACACAGACTCTGAAAGCTAAATATTATCCACTCCTAGCTGCTAATTGGCAATTACTGTGTGTTCCTAGAAACATTATTGCTGCATATGAATTACCAAATATGCTGACTTAGCACCCAGCCTGTCAAAAGGAATTTAACTTTCGTTTACCAGACTATTTGAGTATTTGCATTTCAGCTGTTAAAAAGGTCGGGGATGGTGCTGACTCAAGACTTCACATCACAGAGAAGGAAATTCAAGTATGTCAGATGCTGAGTAATTTTTATTTACAGCATACTACTAAGTGCCCCATTTCACCTAGTGAGTCTTGCAGTGTTACATAAGAAAATTAAGATAATCAGGGACGTGCTGGTGGAAAAAGTAATACAGATTGCTTACATTGCTGTGGAAGAACAGAACTTGTAAAACAATTACACCTTGTAAACACCTTGTAGTGATTAGGACGGGATTGCTGAAAGTGCATCAAATTTGATATACAAGTGAATAATCTCTGCTGCTGTTCACTGGGACTCTGCAGGTGATTTACCAGGATTATTACCTGGCTGTACCAGCAGAATAAACAATGAGGCAGGACGTGAAAGGCTGCTCAGGCGTTATCATGCCTGTGACAAGGAACACTGCAGTTCCTTGTTGTAGATAACTCACACTTGACCAGTTCTTTGCCTCTCTGCTGGGGAGAGCTGCTTGACTGGTGAGTGATAAATGGGTGACACAAGTCTCTCTCACAGTGCTTCGCTATCAACTCTGCTGTGTAAGCCTCTCCTCAGGAACAAGACAAGCACTTCAGGAGTGCAAAGTGCCATCAGCCTGCTCCTCCCTCTGCAGGGGCTGCAGATGATGCTCAGGGCCGCTGTTCTGGGTCTGGCTGCTCACCCAGGATGGAAACCCACAGCCCCTGAGGTGTGCAGGGCTGAACCCCAGTTCTGTGATTGATTCCAGCCACAGCTCTGCTGTGCCACTGCTGGCTGGGCTTTTCCCACTCACAGATATTCATCCGTGTGTAACGGGGCGCTCCAGCGGGAAGGGACGTGACACGCTAATTACCAGCAATTAATCACCTCTGCTAAACCACGGCACGCCTCCTCAGCGTGTCCCAGTGGCTACGTGGGGTCCTGGCACACACGAGAGGTCCCACAAGCTCCCCAGAGCAGCGGCGTGCAGCCAGCCAGGCAGCCGCAGGGCCGGGCACGGGCTCCGGGCTGCTCCCCAAACTCACCAGAGCAGACTTGCCCACGCCTCCTGAACCGAGCACCACCAGCTTGTACTCACGCATGGTGCGGTGTGTTCAGAGAGCCACGACCTGCGGGCAGAGAAAGGGCAGCAGGTAAACACAGAGCTGGCACTGTGACCCACCCTCCCGACAGCGCTGGGCTCGTTCTCCACCTGAGCACTCCGGCTGAGAGGAGCCCAGGAGCCCAGCGCAGAGGAAATGGCCAAAGCTGGTCCTGGCAGTGCCCGGAGGAAGAGGATGGACACAGCAGGGGACAAACACAGCGGCTGTGCCGGGCACCGGAGCTGCCACCGCCCGGCCTCTGCTTCCTCAGCATTTCACGGCACAAACCAGAGCACGGGGCAAGAAAATTAGATCAGAAAGAAGCAAGTCAAGAGGTTTCCTTCTCCCCTCCACCCCCAGCAGGGAGGGATTTAGGTCAGTGTTTTCTCTCTGGAAAAGGTCAGGCCCGGCGCGCGGCTGCCAAGGCAGAGCGCTCTGCTCTGCCCGGCACAGGCTCTGCCTTTTTATGGAAATCTTGCAATTCCCTCAAGTCGCTACGCAGCAGCAGCAAACTTCTCCTTCTCCCCGAGATTCCCTGACAAATAAGGCATATGACAAAGGCGGTGATAAACACTGGCAGGGTGTTTACAGAGAGCAGGCGGGGCTGTCCCGCTGCAGCAAACAATGAGCTCAGCCCCGATCCCTTCCGCAGGGACGCGCTTCCTTCCCAAGTAAGGGCAGCCTCCCCGGCTCCCCGGCCTTCCAGACGGACCTGCCACAGCTTTTCTGGGCTCCCCGCCTTCCAGACGGACCTGCCACAGCTTTTCTGGGCTCCCCGGCCTT